ATTAGCATTTCGTCAAATCTTTTTTCAACGTTCTTAGTTTCTTTGCAATGGGTTAGAACATGTTCTTTTAGCTCAGCGAAGTTTCTTATTACCCACCTTCTGAAGCCTGATTCTGTGAATTCATCACACTCATTCTCTATCCAGCCTTGTTCCCTTGCTGGTGAGGAGTTGTGATCCCTTGTAGGAGGAGAAGCATTCTGGTTTCAGGTGTTTTCATCCTTTTTCCACTGGTTTCTTCCCATTTTTGTGGATTTATCCACCTGTTGTCTTTGTAGTTGCTTTCAGACTGGGTCTCTGAGTGGACGTCCAGTTTGTTGATGATGAAGTTATTTCTTTCTATTTCTTAGTTTTCCTTCTACCAGTCAGGCCCCTCTGCTGTAGGACTGCTGAGGTCCACTCTAGGCTCTGTTTGCCTGGGGATCACCTGCAGCAGCCTCCGGGCTTTCGCTGGGAGCTGCAATCCTGAGCTGCTCCTAATTGGCCATCTTGGATCCCCCAGTATTGTCACTTTCTTAAATCTTTGCCTGATGGGTGTGAATGATATTTCACTGTGGCTTTAATTTGCATCTCCTTGATTACTAGAAAAATATACATATATAAATTTTTAAAAATCTTTTCTTTCCCACCTAAGTTTCCTGTCCTTTATTTTGGATATCAAACCTTTGGCGGTTATATCTGTTGTTCTGTTATAACATCTTTTTCCCAGTTTGTGGCTTGTCTTTCATTTTTTATGGCCTAATGGTAAAGAGAAGTCCTTAATTTTAATCTAACCAAACATTTTTTTAAAAAAATATATTAAGAATACGTTCCTTCCACTTTGAGTTATAAAGATACTGTTTTGCGTATCTTTCTAAAAAGTTCTAAAGTCTTGGCTTTTGTATATTATGTTTTTGATCCATGTAAAATGTGAAGTAGAGATTTTTTATTTTTTTTTCCCCCATAGGACACCCAGTTACCATATATCATTTATGGAACACACCATCCTTTCACTAACGATCTGTAATGCCAGCTCTGATACATGTAAGGTTTCCAAATTAAGCACAGGTCTGTTTAGGGAGTATCTAATCACTGGTCTATTTGCCTATTGTTGTGCAAAGGATATTTATGGAAGTTTAAATACAGTAATAAGTCTGGCTACCTAGTAGGACAAGACTCCCCTCCTCAAATCCATCATTCTGTGTTTTGGCTCTTTTCAGACCTTTGTTCCTTTAAGTTTTCAATTTTATGAGTACATAGCAGGTTTACACATTCATGGGGTACATGAGATATTTTGATAAAGGCATGTAATACATAGTAATCATGTCACAGAAAATGGGTAACCATCCCCTCAAGCATTTATCCTTTGTGTTATAAACAATCCAATTCTACTCTTTTAGTTATTTTAAAATGTACCATTAACTTATTACTGATTATAGTCAACCTGTTGTGTAATGAAATACTAGGTCTTATTCATTCTATTTTTCTGTACCCACTAACCATCCCCAGCTCCCCAGTACCCTTCCCAGCCTCTTATAACCATCCTGATCTCTATCTACATAAGTTCAGTTGTTTTGATCCCACAAATGAGAACATATGATATTTTTCTTTCTGTGCCTGGCTTATTTCACTTAACATAATGACCTCCAGTTCCATGCATGTTGTTTCAAATGACAGGCTATTACTCTTTTTTTATAGCTCCATTGTGTTTACGTGCCACATTTTCTTTATCTATGCATCTGTTGATAGACACGTAAGTTACTTTCAAATCTTGGCTATTGTAAACAGTGCTGCAACAGACACAGGACACCTATTCAATATATTAACTACCTTTCTTTTTGGTATATACCCAGCAGTGGGATTATTGGATTATATGGTAATTCTATTTTTAGTTTTTTGAGGAACTTCCAAATTGTTCTCCATAGTGATTGCACTAATTTACATTCCCACCAACAGGGTACTCCACATCCTCTTCAGCATTTGTTATTGCTTGTCTTTTGGAAAACAGCCATTTTAACTGGGGTGAGATGATATTTCATGTAGTTGTGATTTGCCTTTTACTGATGATCAATGATGTTGAGCACGTTTTCATGTGTCTGTTTGCCATTTGTATGTCTTCTTTTTAAAAATACCTATCAAATCTTTTGCCCATTTTTGGGGATCATTCAATTTTTTTCCTATAGAGTTCTTTGAGCTCCTTATATATTCTGGTTATTAATCTCTTGTCAGATGAGTAGTTAGCAAATATTTTATCACAATTTGTGGATTGTCTCTTCATTTTGTTGACTGTTTATCCCTTTGTTCTTTGATAATCATTTTAGAATCAGCTTGTCAAGCGTCATGAAAAACTCTGGAAATTCTAATTGGAATTACATGGAATATATAGATCAATTTGGGAGAATCAACACCTCTAAAATAATGAATTATCCAATCTAAGGAAATTACCTTTAAGTTGTGTTTAAGGTCTTTTGATAGTTCCTTTAATTTCTAACATAAATATACATCTTTTGCTATTGATGCTATTTGTCTGTTCCTGGTATACAGAAATGCAATTCTGTTTATATATGGAATTTCTATCCTCACAATCTTAATAAACTATCTTATTAATTCTAATAATTTTTTTTTTTAATTTTCAGATATGGGGTCTCTCTGTTGCCCCTGAATACTGGAGTGTAGTAATTATTCTCAGGTATGATCCCACTAATGATCATCACAGGAGTTTTGGCCTGCTTTGTTTCCAACCTGGGCTCTTTCACCTCTCCTTCAGCAAGTTGGTGGTTCCCTGCTCCTGAGAGGTCACCGTATCAATAGTGAACTTAGTGTGAACACCTGATTGGCATAGCACAGAACTCCCAGACTCAAGTGATGCCTCCCGAGTAGCTGGAACTACAGCCACACACCACTGTGCACAGCTTAATAATTTTTCTGTATATTCTTTTGCATATTCTGAATAGACAACCATATGATCTACAAATCGAAACATGTTTCTAAGCCTTTGTAACTATTATTTCTTTGTCATATCTTATTGCATTGCTAAGACATTCAAGTAGAATGTTTAAGTTTTAAGAGTGGATATCTTTGGCTCATTCCTGATTTAAAGGAAATGTTTTTAGCCTTTCACTACCAAACAACACATTGATATTTGCTATAGGTAGATACCCTTTTAAAAATTATTTTTAAATTTACAAACGATAAAATTGACTGAGTTTTAATGCATGTGTAGTTTTATGTAACTACTGCCATAATCAGGATACTGAACTGTTCCATCACCCCAAAAAACTTCCACATGGTGCCCCTATAAATTCAAATCCTTCTGCTTCCCCTAACCCCTGCTAACCAATAATCTGTTCTCTGTCTCTAGGTTTTGCCTTTTCCAAAATATCTTAAAAATGGAAGCATAAAGTATATAAAATTTCAAGACTGGCTTCTTTCACTCATCAGAATGTCTTTGATACTACCACAGTAGTCTAAACCTAAGAGAAATTACAAACTCAGGAGTTTTTCTAAACATTGATTCATCCATATTATATACTTTCCTGAGAACCCTGAGCAATTTACCTGTATGAATGGGAAAACTTCAAGGGATCATGTTGTTATTACACTAGAGCTTTACATTTGAACCGCTGGTGCTGAGATCTGTTTTAGTCAGTAACATTTCTTTTTTTTAACTCATTATAATTTTTGATGCCATTTGGGTTTGATAAACTACAACTGACATTCCTAAATGACTATGAGACAGAATCATAGACCTGGAAGAATCCTTATAAGTCACCCAGGGAGGCAGTTTAGCACTGTGATAAACATGGGCTCTGGCATCATACAGAGCTAGATTCTGCTATCTCTCTTAGTTAAATTCACCTTTTACTGAGTTTCAGTTTTCTTATCAGTAAAATGGAGAAAATAAAGTAGGTACTTCATCGATTTTTCAGACAGTTAAATGAGATACTCCATGTAAAATGCATAGCAGACTCCCAGGCACAGTCTGCAATAGCAATAGGCAATACAACAGCAAAAGGCACAGTAAAAGGCTCAGCAAATGGCAGCTGCTACTATATTCAGTACGGCTCTCTCATTTTTGCAGATTATGTAAATAATCTAAACACTCTGTTTTTATGGTTTTAATATTTAAGGGACATAACTTTGTATAAAGAAAGACATATTTTGGCTGATAGCTCTTTAAGGATGACAACTAAACTGATCTTATTTAAACAAATGTACAACTTCTCTAGGCTAGTTGGTAATTCACCAGCCCAGTGAATGTATGAAAAACAACAAAGGAAAACAAAAAACCTGAGATTTTAATCTTCCAATTATGGGAGGAAAATTATTAGAAATAAAATTGTAAGTTTGCATGCAATTGTGGTCAACAAATATTTTTAAAGTACTGACAAATCAAGTTAGTGTTAAAAACCTTAGAAAACCTGTAATCCCAGCACTTTGGGAGGCCGAGGCGGGTGGATCACGAGGTCAAGAGATCGAGACCATTCTGGTCAACACGGTGAAACCCCGTCTCTACTAAAACTACAAAAAATTAGCTGGGCATGGTGGTGCGTGCCTGTAATCCCAGCTACTCAGGAGGCTGAGGCAGGAGAATTGCCTGAACCTGGGAGGCGGAGGTTGCGGTCAGCCGAGATTGTGCCAGTGCACTCCAGCCTGGGTAACAAGAGTGAAACTCCGTCTCAAAAAACAAACAAACAAACAAAAAAAAAAAACACCAACCTTAGAAAACATTCTGTTCCTGCTATGTCCCTCCACCCACCCTCATAATCCAGAGGGCATGCATGAAAAGAGTACTATCTATGAAATCTATATCGTGGTCCAAATGATATAAGTCATCATAATTATTCTATAAATCGATGGATTTTATTTTCTTAAATAATCTAGAACAAAGAGTATATTTCAAGACAATTAAACTGAAGACACTATGTCCTGAATAAACAAAGAGTGTTTTTTAAAACTTTCTGCATTTACTTTGGTCAAAGTTTGCTATTGGCTAAATCATTAAAGTTTTAAACAAAACATACCTCCATCAAGAGTAAGTTTTGACCGCCACTCAACAGGCAGAAATTCAACATGTGTTGCATGGTTGGAAAAATGCCTTTCTTCTATTTTTCTTGCAGCCTCTCTCATCCTAAAAAACAACAACAATAAAATACAAAGCTTTATGAGAATAACTTCACATATATATTCATATGATATAAAATACGTTTAATCATAACACTTCCATTTGCTTACAGCTTTGTCCAATTATATTCCACTACACTAAGCAAGTTTGCAATACTAGGATACCTTCATTTCAAAGTTATTTTCCTAAATTTGCCATCTATGATTTAAAATATTCTAAGCTTTTACATTATATTCTAAATAATTATAGATAGGAATTTTTAGTGAACAGAATGGTATAATGAATACCTCTGTGCCATCACCCAGCTCCAAATATTATCAAGTCATGACATACTTACTTCATCTATTCTATTCATTCTTCCTATAATATGAATTTTAAAATTTTATTAAAAATATCAAGATACCATAAAATTGATCCCTTTCCCCCTTTTGGTGTCAGTTATATAGCAGATTTGTGATTAGTATTACACAATTCAGAACAGTTCATCCAGAAAAACTCCCTCATGCTATTCCTTTAGTAGTCACTCCTTTCCCCCATATTTAAGCAAATCCTAATTGTTAGTGCATTATTTTGTCTGTAGTTCAGTACATATATATATATATATATACTTTTTTGAGACGGAGTTTCACTCTTGTTACCCAGGCTGGAGTGCAATGGCGCAATCTCGGCTCACCGCAACCTCCACCTCCTGGGTTCAGGCAATTCTCCTGCCTCAACCTCCTCAGTAGCTGGGATTACAGGCATGTGCCACCATGCCCAGCTAATGTTTTGTATTTTTAGTAGAGACGGGGTTTCACCATGTTGACCAGGATGGTCTCGATCTCTTGACCTCGTGATCCACCCGCCTCGGCCTCCCAAAGTGCTGGGATTACAGGCTTGAGCCACCACACCCGGCCAGTTCAGTATATATTTTAAAAATATAAGAAGAACATAAGCTATTCAGTATTATCATGCCAAAAAAATTAATAATTCTTAATTTCAGCAAATATGTAGTTCAGTGGTCCTATTTTCCTAGCTGGACTATAACTATTACTTTAGAATCACATTAAAAATTTTTTACACTTGTTTAAATTGAGCTCTAAATACAGTCCATGCACTGCAATTGGAAGACATGTCTCTACTACAGGCTACTTTCTCTATTTTACTTTGTAAGGGGATACCTTGTTTTACGTATTCAGTTTTTAAAAAATTGCACTCTGCAGATACTGCCTTTTTCTCCACCTTTTAAAAAACGGAAGGTCTGTGGCAACCTTGTATGGAGCAAGTCTATTAGTGCCATTTTCCCAGCAGCATGTGCTCACTCTGTGTCTCCGTGTCACATTTTGTAATCCTCACAATATTTCAAACTTCTTCATTATTACTACATCTACTATGGTGAACTGCACCTGTATAAGATGAGTTTAAATGATAAATGTATGTTGTCCGACTGTTCCACTGATCAGCTATTCCCCAACTTTACTCCTGCTCCAAAGACTTCCCTATTATCCCTGAAACACAATATTGAGATTGCAGCACTTAAGGATTCCATACTGGGCCGGGCGCGGTGGCTCAAGCCTGTAATCCCAGCACTTTGGGAGGCCGAGGCGGGTGGATCACGAGGTCAAGAGATCGAGACCATCCTGGTCAACATGGTGAAACCCCGTCTCTACTAAAAAAAATACAAAAAATTAGCTGGGCATGGTGGCGCGTGCCTGTAATCCCAGCTACTCAGGAGGCTGAGGCAGGAGAATTGCCTGAACCCAGGAGGCGGAGGTTGCGGTGAGCCGAGATCGCGCCATTGCACTCCAGCCTGGGTAACATGAGTGAAACTCCGTCTCAAAAAAAAAAAAAAAGAAAAAAAAAAAGAAAAAAGAATTCCATACTGGCCTCTAGGTGCTCAAGTGAAAGGAAGAATTGCGTATCTCTCACTGCAAATCAGTAACCAGAAATAACTGAGCTTAGTGAGGGTGGCATGTCAAAAGTCAGGCACGCCAAAAGCTGGACCTCTTGTGCCAGTTGGCCAATCTGTGAAAGCAAAGGAAAAGTTCTTGAAAGAAATTAAAAGTACTACTCCAGTGAACACAAATGATAAGAAAACGAAAAAGCCTTATTGTTAAGGAGAAAGTTTTAGTGGTCTGGATAGATGATCAAAACAGCTACAACTTTCCCTTTAAGCCAAAGCCTAATCCAGAGCAACGCCTTAACTCTTTTCAACTCTAAAAGGCTGAGAGAGGCAAAGAAGCTACAGAAGAAAAGTCTGAAGCTAGCAGGCTAGTGCACAAGGTTTAAGGAAAGAAGCTGTCTCTGTAACATAAAAGTGCAAGGTAAGCAGTAATGTAGAAGCTGTAGCAAGTTATTCAGAAGATCTAGCCAAGATAATCAATGAAGGTTGCTACACTAAACAACATATTCTCAATGTAGACAAAAAAGCCTTCTAACAGAAAAAGATTCCTAGGACTTTCACAGCTAGAGAGGAAGAAGTCAATGCCTGGCTTCAAATTTTCAAAGGACAGGCTGACTCTCTTGTAAAGAGCTAATGCAGCTGTTAACTTGGAAGTTGAGGCCAATGCTCACTGACCATCCCAAATATCCTAGGGCCCTTAAAAATTATGCTAAATCTACTGTACCTATGCTCTATAAATGGAACAACAAAGGCTGAATAGCAGCACATCTTTTTTACAGCATGGCTTACTGAATATTTTAAGCCTACTGTTGAGACCTACTGCTCAGAATAAAAAATATTCATTTCAAATGATTACTGCCCATTGACAATATACCTGGTCACTCAAGAGCTCTGATGGAGATGTACAAAGAGATAAATGTTGTTTCCACACCTGCTAACACAGTATCCACTCTGCAGCCCATGGATCAAGGAGTAAATTTGACTTTTAAGTCTTATATTTAAGAAACAAATTTTATAATGCTCTGGATGCTATAGATAGTGGATGAATCCGGGAAAAGTAAACTGAAAATATACTGGAAAGAATGCCAATAAGAACATTTGTGATTCATGAGGGGTGAAAATGTCAACATTCCAGAAGTTTGGAAGAAATGGATTCCAACCCTCATAAATGACATTGAGGGGCTCAAGACTCCAGTGGGGAAGTAACTACAGATGTATTGGAAATAGCAAGAGAACTAATATAAGAAGAGTGTGAATATGTGACTGAATTGCTGCAACTTCATGAGAAAACTTCAGTGGAAGAGTAGTTGCTTCTTATGGATAAACAATTAGTTTCTTGAGATGGACTCTTGGTAAAGATCTGAATATTGTTGAAATGACAACAAATAATTCAGAATATGCCATAAACTTAGTTGATAAAGCAGTGGCAGGGTTTAAGAGAATTGATTCAAATTTTGAAATTCTATAGTGGGTAAAATGCTCTCAAACTGCATTGCATGGTACAGAGAAATCTTTCATGAAAGGAAGAACCAATCAATGTGACTAACTTCACTGTTGTCTTGGTTTAAGAAATTGTCACACCCACCCCAAACTTTGGCAACTACCATCCCAATCAGTCAGCAGCCATCAACATAGAGGCAAGACCCTTCAACAGCAAAAAGTTGCTGTGAACTCACTGAAGCCTCAGATAATCATTAGCAGTGTTTAGCAGTATAGCACTTTAAAATTAAGATATGCACATTGATTTTTAGGGACATACTGCTATCACATACTTAATAAGTATCACATACTTAATAATGTTTACAGTGTAGGGTAAACATAACTTTCATATGCACTGAGAAGTCAAGTTGTGCAACTCAATTATGATATCTGCTTTACTGCAGTGGTATGGAACCAAACCCACAATATCTTTGAGGTATACCTGTAATTTTTTGTGTATGTGTCCTATAGAGTTACTTAGAGTCTGATTTTAACTCACTGCATCCCTATGGTGCTATTTAACACATTCTTTCTTCTGTTTTCTATAATTTGGTAGTTATAGGGGCTTCATTAGATTTAGGCTCTGTTTTGGTGAAACTGCTAGTCCATACATACATAGGTACATAAAACTCTTTTCTCTTTTTGGTGATGATAGCGGTTACTGATGACCATTGTTGAAACACATTAGTTTATCATGGTAGCAAAAGTGCCTTTTAAATTCCATCACTCTTCATTTGTTTATAAGCTTATACTTCTGGGAAGAGAAATTTCCTTACATTAAATATTTACCTACAGTGAGGTATAACCAAATAGTTTTTGCATGAATTGAGGCACAGATAATCCAGAAAAGGCAGGATAAATGGTTAATTCTTCCTTTTTATCAACAGTTTTCAAAATAACAAGTCATTAGGTTTTATACATTTTGATGTCATTACTAACTCATAGATTTAAGCATATTTGATGCATATACACTATAGTTATTATCCTTACCAAGGCTCAAATTGTCTCCTATTTTAGGTCCGTGAATATCTTCAAGTTGGCTTCTGAGTGCTTTTGAAACAACTTCACTAGTTTTGTTTTTTTTTTTTTTAAAAAACAAATGTGGCTTTAGTATATTCAAAGAGTTATGCAACTCTCACCATTATCTAATTTCATAACACTCTCATCACCCCAGAAACACCATTCCCATTAGCAGTTACTCTCTATCCCTTCTCCTCCCACCCACTGGCACCCACTAATCTACTTTCAGCAGATTTGCCTATTTTGAACATTTCATATAAATAGAATCATACAATATGGGGCCTTTTTGTGTCTGGCTTTTCAGTTAATGTAATGTTTTCAAGTCTCATCTATGTGCATCATAAATCAGTACTTCATTGCTTTTCATTGTTGAATAGTATTTCATTACATAAATATGCCACTCTTGTTTAGCCACTCATCAGTTGATGGATGTTTGGGTTGCTTTCATTTTTCGGTTATCATAAATAATGCTTCTATGAACATTCTTTAATGAGTTTTTGTGGACATACATTTTCAAATCTCTTGGGTATGCATATAGGAGTGATAATGCTGGCTCACACATTAACTTCCTTTAACTTTCTGAAGAACTACCAAACTCTCCAAAGCAGCTGTACTACTTTCTCAT